CACAAATGAAAGGAAGACTGATAACCATCATTTTACTCCCTACTTCCTTAAGTCCAACATTTTAAAATGTCACATATAAGTGAAGTCATGCAGAATTTGTCTTTCCGTGCCTGGAAGAGCAGATTTTAAATGTTTTCTTCACACACAAAAATGAAAATTATGTGAAGTGGTGATTTGTTAATTATTAACCTGATTTACTCATTCCACACTATAAACGTAAATCAAAACATCACATTTTACCCATAAATACATTTTAATTATTATTTGTCAATTAAAAATAAAACTAATAAAAGAAAATAGATAGCTACATTAATATTGGGGGAAAAACATTAAAGCAAAAAGCATTTTTAGGAATAAAATATTTCTGTCTTCTAACCAATGCATTTTGTTAAATTTGTTACGATTATTGATATACTTGGATTCATTTTTATCCTTTCATTTTATACTATTTATTATCTTTTTTATATGTTTTATTTTTCCCCTTTCCTGACTTTATTTGTTGACTTTTTAAAAATAAAAACATTTAAAGAAATTTCAATAGCTTCTGGGATAGATGTGGTTTTTGGTTACATTGATGAATGATATAGTGGTGAAGTCAGATTTTAGTGCACCCATTTCCAAGTAGTGTCTATTCATTGAGTATTTAAATCTATCCCCTTTTTTCTACTTTCATGTTTTAGATGGTATACATTCTATTTCTACAATTTTACTGGTTGCTCTTAAATATTTTTAACATATTGTAGAAGGTAAACATTCTATTTCTACTATTTTACTGGTTACTCAAGTATTTTTAATGTGTACATTTATTATTAAGGCCTAAAGTAAATTAATATTTATAGTTTCTTCTTGAATAATAATTGAAATTTAGAACACTAACTCTTGATTACTCTCTCTGGTGTTAGAGTGTTATTATTATCTGTTGTTTTTGTTCCATCTTATTTTTCTACCCCCACATTAGTCATCATGATACTGTTTTATAAAGTTAATGGCTTTACCCACATACTTATTAGATTTTTTGCCCATTGTTATTATTTGCATTTCATGCCTTTCTTCTGATTTCAGTGTTCTTTAGAAATTCCTTTGTGAAGGGTCCTTTGGAAGCAGACTCTCAGTGTGTGTCTCAAAGTGTCTTTAAATTTTTTTTTTTCTTTTTTTTTTTTGAGATGGAGTCTCACTCTGTCTCCCAGGCTGGAGTGCAGTGGCACCATCTTGGCTCACTGCAACCTCCGCCTCCCTGTTTCAAGCGATTTTCCTGCCTCAGCCTCCCAAGTAGCTGGGATTACAGGTGCCTACCACCACATCCAGATAATTTTTGTGTTTTTAGTAGAGATGTGGTTTCGCCATGTTGGCCAGGCTGGTCTCGAACTTCTGACCTCAGGTGATCCGCCCACCTTGGCCTTCCAAAGTGTTGGGATTACGGGCATCAGCCACCATGCCTGGCCTTAAATTTTTTAGAGACAGAGTGTTGCTATGTTACCCAGGCTGACCTTCAATTCTTGGGCTTAAGTAATCTTCTTGCCTCAGCCTCTCAAGTAGCTGGGACTACAGGTGTACTACATGCCTGGCAAAAAAGTGTGGGTTTTTTTTTTTTTTTTTTGAGACGGAGTTTCACTCTTACTGCCTAGGCTAGAGTGCAATGGTGTGATCTCAGCTAACTGCAACCTCCGCCTCCTGGGTTCAAGCGATTCTCCTGCCTCAGCCTCCCGAGTAGATGGGATTACAGGCATGTGCCACCACGCCCGTCTAATTTTGTATTTTTAGTAGAGATGGGGTTTCTTCATCTTGGTCAGGCTGGTCTTGAACTCCCGACCTCGGGTGATCTGCCCGCCTCAGCCTCCCCAAAGTGCTGGGATTACAGGCGTGAGCCACTGTGCCTGGCCAAAAATGTCTTAATACTCATTTTTGAGTTGTAATTTACTTGCATATGATATCTCAGATTGATAGTTTCTGCTGACTTCCACCTTATGTTGTTCTGTCTACGTGACAATCTTTTGTAAGTAATCTGTCCAATTGCCTGAAAAATTTTCCTGTGCCTCTTGCAGTTTCTCTATAATGCCATTGGTATATTTTCACTTTCCTGCTTGGAACTTCTTGTGCTTTTTGAATCTGAAAATTATTGCTTTTCATCAGTTCTAGAACATTTTAGTCTGTGGTATTTTTAAATTTTGCTTTGATTTTATTCTCTTTATTCTCTTCTGGAAATTCTGTAAAGATGTATGTTGGACCTTTTCGTGTTATGTAATGTGTCTCTTAACATCCTTTATATTTTTCATCTCTTTATCTCCCTATATCTTATCCCGTGTAATTTCTTCAGGTACATATTCATTTGTTGAGTCTATTCTCAGCTGAGTTGCATCTGCTATTTAACTCACCCACTGAGTTTTAAATTTCAATAATTATATTTTTAATTTTCATGAATTTCATTTGGTTATTTTACAGGTCTTCCCAGTCCTGTTTGACATTTGTCTCAAGAGTTTTATTTGCTTTTTATGTCTTCATCACTTTAAAGGTTTCTTTTGAATCTTGTTGGAGTTTCTTTTCCTCGTATGTTTTGCAGTTTTTGATTGGGAGCTTGTTTTTGGAGGGCTTAATCTGTGGGTATCCTGTAAGGCTTGGCTGGAATGTGTCTGTGTCTCTTTAGAGAGAATATTTATTTCTGCCAAATGTCCCAGAGTTATTACCAGTGGAACCTCTTTGCACATTAATATATCAAATCCAGTTACAAAGGTAATAAATTCAAATTGGATCCCAGGCATGATAAAATTTAAATCCCAACACACATCATCACTGGCCTTTGGTTATAAACTCTTTTTTTTCTTTTTTTCATCCATTTTTTAAAAAAAATATTTATTATTATTTCTGTTTAACCCAAACTAAAAATGGTCAATATGGTTACAAATTCTTTGAGAGAGTTTATTTTATTTTATTTTATTTGAAATAGCATCTTACTCTATTGCCCAGGCTGGAGTGTAGTCGCGTGAGGATGGCTTACTGCAGCCGCAGTCTCCCAGGCTCAAACAGTTCTCCCATCTCAACCTCTAGAGTAGCTGGGACTAGGGACTACTTTTTAAAATTTTTAGTTGAAATGGGGTTTCACTATGTTGCCCAGCCTGGTCTTAAACTCCTGGGCTCAAGCAAGCCTCCCACCTCGGCCTCCTAAAGTGCTGGAATTACAGGTGTGAGCCACTGTGCCTAGCTGGAGATCTTTTTCATACCAAGCTAGATACCTTAGTTTTTGTTTTGCCAATAGGTAGATTTCTTTCCCCTCCCCTCCCCTCCCCTCCCCTCCTGTTCCCCTTTTCTGACAGTCTCGCTCTGTTGCCAGGCTGGAGTGCAGTGGTGTAATCTCGGCTCCCTGCAACCTCCACCTCCTGGGTTCAAGCAGTTCTCCTGCCTCAGCCTCCCAAGTAGCTGGGATTACAGACATGTGTAACCATGCCCTACTAATTTTTGTATTTTTAGTAGAGACAGGGTTTTACCATGTTGGCCAGGCTGGTCTTGAACTCCTGACCTCAAGCAATCCTCCTGCCTCGGCCACCTAAAGTGCTGGGATTACAGGCGTGATTTCTTTCTAACTGTTTAGTAATCCTGGATTTTTCTCTCTCTCTCTTATCTTTTTTTTTTTTTCTGACTCGGTTACAGTTACAGTCACACATTGCTTAATGATGGGGATACCTTTTGAGAAGTGTGTTATTAGGTGATTTTGTCATTGTGTGAACATCATAGAGTGTGCTACACAAACCTAGATGGTATAATCCAGTATACACCTGGGCTGTATGGTATAGCCTATTGCTCCTAGACTACAGGCCTGTACAGCATGTTACTGTACTAAATATTGTAGGCAATTGTAGCACAATGGTAAGTATGTATTTAAACATATAAAATGTATGGTAAAAATATGGTAAAAAACATTAAAACTGCACACCTATATAGGGCACTTATCAATGGAGGACTAGAAGTTGCTTTAAGTGAGTCAGTGAGTGAGTGTTGAGTGAATGTGAAGGCCTAGGATATTACTGTACACAACTACAGATAGAGTACTACACTTTATAAACAGTGTACACTTAGGTTACACTAGATTTATTTAAAAATTAAGTAATTGTGCTATGATACTACAATGGCTATGACGACTCTAGACAATAGAAAATTTTCAGCTCCATTATAATCTTATGGGACCACTGTCATACATGCAGCCCATCATTGACTGAAACATCATTATCCAGAGCATGGCTGTACCAGCTTTGTACAGGCCTGATGACTGTCTTGTGTCTCTGCATGGCCAGTAAAATCTGAACCCATTTTATTATGAAAAGTAGCAACCATCTTTATTGTTCCTCCCTCCCAAGTAACTATAGCATGAAGCACCTTATTATCAGTCTGGGTTTACAAGGATTGGGTCCTTGCATATTTGTTTTACTTTCTTGACAACTGAATTATGCTTTTAAGAAATGTTTCTTTTAGCATTTATTGATGTTTTGTACCAGAAGGATTTCCTGGTTTTTTGGTCTACCACATTTCCAGAAGTAGAAGCCAAAATGTGTTTATTGCTCTTTCCCAGGAATCCTTTTTTTTTCTTCTCTGAGGAATCCTACATCTTTAGAAGGAATGCAGTTCAGTTCAGCAGACGGTATTGATTGCCTTCTATGTACCAATGACTATTTATGGAAATCATTAGTTTTCTAGCAGAATTCTATCTTCATTCAAAAAATAAAACAAATATGCTTATCTTTCTCACCATCCTTCTGCAACTATCAATCACAAGGATTATATTATATAAAAAGAGTCAGCAGATAGGTTCCAGTACTTTAGATAAAACTCCTGTCTTGAGATAAAATTTTAGCACTTAAACTCTTGCTATTTGCAAAGTGTGGATTACATTATCATTACTAATGCATGTGTGCACCCATGTGCGTGTACACACACACACACAGAAGGTAAGTGGACAAGTTACATCAAAGTTCACATATTTTTCAAAGTTGTGTATTTTTCTTTGTGTTTAGATTTTCTTCTACCTCAGTTTAAAAGATGTGATAATATGTGGTCAAGTTAATCATGCCTGGATGTTGATGACACAGCTGAACTCACTGTGGAATGCTGTAAGTAGATACTAACTGAACTATGTCTTCACACTAATTCTTAAAAGGAGAATGGACTGCTGTGAAGCCAACTGTTGTGGGGACACCTTCTTCCCTGCTCTGTGGTCACCAGCAGCAAGTGAATTTGGTTTTCTTTTGTCCAGACACAAGCCTGGGGGAAGAGATAAAAAAGATAATAATGCCATTTTAAGAGATACATCATTAGTATTTTAAAATGTAAATGGTAGATATAAATGAATATCATTTTTGGATTGAAACAAAGCTCCATTTTATTGGATAGTTTGTACTCCATTCTGGTTTTATTACTGTGTGCCTACTTCCTTTTCATGAGCATAGACTATATGTTGAGTCCATGACTATGGGAAAGATGTTTAGAGTGTGAGGTGTGCAATAGCTTTTTCTTAACTCATAATTTTTGGAAGGGTTATTTCCATTAAAAAGAGAGGATTATGCTGGGCACAGTGGCTCACGCCTGTAATTCTCGCACTTTGGAAGGCCAAGGCAGGTGGATCACCTGAGGTCAGGAGTTTGAGACCAGCCCAACATGGTGAAACCCTGTCTCTACTAAAAATGCAAAAATTAGCCAGGCACGGTGGCAGTTGCCTGTAATCCCAGCTACTCAGGAGGCTGAGGCAGGAGAATCGCTTGAGCCTGGGAGGTGGAGGTTGCAGTGAGCCGAGACTGTGCCACTGCATTCCAGCCTGGGCAACAGAGCAAGACTCTGTATCATTCAAAAAAAAAAAGAAAAGAGCGGATTGGCTGAGCGCTGTGGCTCACGCCTATAATCCAAGCATTTTGGGAGGCCGAGGCAGGCGGATCATGAGATCAAGAGATTGAGACCATCCTGGCCAACCTTGTCTCTAAAAATTAGCTGGGCGTGGTGGTGTGTGCCTGTAGTCCCAGCTACTTGGGAGGCTGAGGCGGGAGAATTGCTTGAACCCAGGAGGCAGAGGTTGCAATGAGCCAAGATCACACCACTGCATTCCAGCTTGGCGACAGAGCGAGACTCTGTCTCAAAAAAAAAAAAAAAAAGAGAGGATTACAAGGATGACCTTAGTGTACCTGGGTGATTGTATGCAAAACTGATAAGGGCAGAGGTTTTTGGAGTGGCCAGGGCTGATTGATAAACAATAACATTGATATCACAGTATTGCTAATATTGTCAGCTGAAAATTTACGTTTGTGAACATCCAATTGCCCGTGAACAGGCAACTTCTCATTGCCTTCTGAATAAAGTTACTGTTTGTGCTGAAAATGCTGATTATAATTGTGCCACATTTGAACACTCACAAATAAAAGCAGAAATAGGAGGATGGAGCAACATACAATTGTGGAAAGAGAAATTTGCTGAACATAAAGCACTAACTTCCTACCCTGGCTTCATTCCTCACTGCCATGTGCTTATAATGCTCTCCATCTTTATCCAGTGAGGTCTCTGGGCAGAAGTGTTGGCTTTTTCTAACTCCTGCCAGCTTCCTCAAGACATGTCATGATCGAAATATTGTATATATTCTTTCTCCTCTAGACCATTTGGATGCATTTTTTTCTTCTTTATAGGTTTTCCGAAGGAAAAAGCAACATCCCCAAATATCTGTAATGTAATTTAGAGATTTATCACTTTAAGCCAGTGGTTCTCAAAGTGTGGTCCTGGGACCAGTAGTATCAGCATCACCCAATACCTTGTTGGAAATGCAAATTCTTAGGCCCCATCCCAGACCTACTGAGTCAGAAACTCTTAGGGTAGCAAACAGTAATCTGTTTTAACAACCCCCTAGATGATTCTGATGCACGCTAACGTTCGAGAATCACCGCGTTAAACTAAAAATAAAATTAAGACAGGAACACCTAATTTGTTAGCTAAGATAGGTTTGGTAAGATGAAATCAGTTCTTTTCTTGCCATTGTTGCACAGTGCGAGAGTAGTGCAACCGAGAATGGGATGGTGTCCAGATGCGATGTAAAGATGTTGAGTTAACTTATGAAGCTAGAGCCCCTGACACCTTCTCAACTCCTTTTAATTTCTTTAAGTTTTAGAGCTTCTACAAAATGGTGCCAGGCCCCCTATTCATAGGTCAGTCTGAGCACGTGATATCATCAGTGCTTCAATCATTAGCACTAAGGAGGGGTTGTGAAGTCAGCTATTGACTGGACTTTAGACAACAGGGAAAATGTTGCCACTGAACATTGGTTGATGGTGTAAATGACCATGTTTGTTGATATTAAAGTATCTTACAAGAAACAGACAAGAGAAGTTGTTGGGGGATGTGTGCTTATTTGCTTATTTTTTATTGTTGGCTGAGTCCTCTCCTCAATGTCTCTTTGGAATGAGAAACACAAACATGTTTCAGGTTAAAAAATAGTTCTGTGGCAAGAATAGTACATAAGTGCCAGCCTAGGAGTTCATATTAGAAAATGACAGAGTGTATGTGTTTCTGCATGCATGCAGACACACCAAGAATGTCAAATATGATTTATGTGTTGTTTATTTTAGTCCTATTTCATGCTTTTTAAAATTTATGTACTCCATATTTTGTGTGCTTTGTCACATCTTTTTGAAGTAATAATAGTAGCTAATATTTATTGAATGCTTTCTTATATGCCAGATGCTACACTAAGTATTTTATTTGCATTTTCTCAGTTTGTCTCTTCAGCCTCCTGAGTTAGGCACTATTATTTTTCCCATTTTACAGATGGAAAAAAACTAAGCCTTAGTTAAGTCACAGCCAACATGGTTAAATGGCTAGGATGGGATTCACATTCTGATCTGTCTGACTAGAAAGTATGTGTTCTTAATTATCAACTATTTATAAGGGAATGCCAGGTCTGCCATTTGCCTTTCCCCTAACTGGCAGCATAGAATTTCTCCTCTTAAGGTTCTTTAACAATGATATAACCTTGAGCTCTGAGACCCAACTTTCATAAAACGCTTGGCATTAATGAGTAATATTCATGAAGCGTTCGGGTCAAGTAAGTCCTCTAGATACTGTGCATTTTGTCCCTGAATTGAATCAGCCAACCAGAGAGCAGCACACTTGGACTCTATTGCTTTAGGTTTTCTCTTTCTGAGTTGTGCTTTTTTGCCCTGAATTCAGCTTTTGTCCAGTGGTTTGTTATATGGAAGTCACTCAATTTATTTAATCTGTCTCCTATCGAAAGACATTTAGGTTGCTTACTATCTTTTGTTAATAAAATCCTGTGGTGAATATCCTGTTTCTCAGTGTTTCGTTGTATACATGTATGATTATATTGGCAGGATAAATTCTTAGAAGTAGAATTGTTAAGGCAAAGGTTGGATTCATTTATAATCACAAAATTGGCCAGGCATGGTGGCTCATGCCTCTAATCCCAGCACTTTGGGAGACTGAAGCAGGTGGATCATTTGAGGTCAGGAGTTCGAGACCAGCCTGGCCAACATGGTGAAACCCCATCTCTACTAAAAATACAAAAATTAGCCGGGCGTGGTGGCAGGTGTCTGTAATCCCAGCTACTCGGGAGGCTGAGGCAGGAGAATCACTTGAACCCAGGAGGCAGTGGTTGCAGTGAGCCAAGATCATGCCTCTGCACTGCAGCCTGGACAACAGAGCGAGACTCTGTCCCCCCTAAAAAATTATATATATATGTGTGTGTGTGTGTGTGTGTGTATGTAAAGTCACAAAATTGTGTGGAGTTATGGAGTACTTTTTGCCCCCAAATTTCCTTAGCTCTCTCTATTTTTTTTTTTTTTTTGAGATGGAGTTTTGCTCTATCACCTACACTGGAATGCAGTGGCACGATCTCAGCTCACTGCAACCTCAGCCTCCTGGGTTCAAGCAATTCTCCTGCCTTAGCCTCCTGAGTAGCTGGGATTACAGGTGCACGCCACCACACCTGGCTAATTTTTGTATTTTCAGTAGAGACAGGGTTTCACCATGTTGGTCAGGCTGGTCTCAAACTCCTGACCTCAGGTGATCCGCCCTCCTTGGCCTTCCAAAGTCCTAGGATTATAGGTGTGAGCCACCATGCCAGGCCTATACTTTTTTTTATATCTGATATCACATTGTTATTTTAATTTATGTATCTCAACTCACAAGAGAGACTGAACATTATATGTCAGGAAACCATTTTGCATTTACGTTTTTTATCCTAATTTACTATATTTTTATCAGCCAACTCAAATCATTTTTGGGAACAAGCAAAAATGTATGTGTGTATGTGCTGAAATTTCCATACTGTACTAAATAGAACATTCAAACTAACATTTCAGTCTTTTTTTCTGTCTGGAAATGATGTGATGAAGAGCTTTTAGTACTAGACGCTTTAAAATATTTTAAATTTTTACATGAAACAGATCTTATTTCTTTTCAAATAATTTCGACTTTTGTTTTAGATATAAGGGGTACATGCTCAGGTTTGTTACCTGGGAATATCATGTGATGCTAAGGTTTGGGGTACAGATTCCATTATCCAGATAGTGAACGTAGTACCCAATAGGTAGTTTTTCTAAACCAGCCCCCACCTTCCAGTAGTCCACATAAATATGCAGATGTGCTCCCATATTTATGTTCGTGTATGCTCAATGTTTAGCTTCCACTTATAAGTAAGAACATGCAGTATTTAGTTTTCTGCTTCTGCATTAGTTTGCTTGGGATGATGGCCTCTAGCTCCATCTGTGTTGCTGCAAAGGACATGATTTCATTCTTTTTTATGGCTATGCAGTATTCCGTCGTGTATATCTACCACTTTTTCTTTATTCGATGTACTATTGATTGAATATGTGGTTGATTCCACATCTTTGCTATTGTGAGTAACACAGAGATGAACATATGAGTGCATGTGTCTTTTTGGTAGAATGATTTATTTTTCTTTGGATATTTACCCAGTAATGGGATTACTGGGTTGAATGGTAGCTCTGTTTTAAGTTCTTTGAGAAATCTCTGGACTGCTTCCCACAGTGGTTAGATTAATTTACATTCCCACCAATGGTGTATAAGTGTTCTCTTTTCTCCGCAACTTTGCCAGAATCTATTGTTGTGTGACTTTTTAATAATAACCATTCTGAGCCGGGCATGGTGGCTCACACCTGTAATCCCAGCACTTTAGGAGGCCAAGGCAGGCGGATCATGAAGTCAAGAGATCAAGACCATCCTGACCAACCTGGTGAAACCCTGTCTCTACTAAAAATACAAAAAGTAGCTGGGCGTGGTGGCATGTGCCTATAGTCCCAGCTACTCAGGAGACTGAGGCAGGAGAATCGCTTGAGCCTGGGAGGCAGAGGTTGCATTGAGCTGAGCCAAGATCATGCCACTGCACTCCAGTCTGGCAACAGAGCAAGACTCTGTCTCAAAAAAAAAAAAAAAAAAAAAAAAAAAAGTCATTCTGACTGGTATGAGACAGTATCTTTTTTTTTTCGTGGCAGAGTCTTGCTCTGTCATCCAGGCAGGAGTGCATTGGTCTAATCTCAGCTCACTGCAACCTCCACTTGTCAGGTTCAGGCAATTCTCATGCCTTGGCCTCCCAAGTAGCTGGGACTACAGGCGTGCACCACCACCCCTGGCTAATTTTTGTATTTCTAGTAAAGATGGGGTTTTGCCATGTTGGCTAGGCTCATCTTGAACTCATGGACTCAAGTGATCCTCCACTTTGGACTCCCAAAGTGCTGGGATTACAGGCATGAGCCACTGTGCCCGATCTCATTGTGATTTCAATTTGCGTTTATCTGATAATGATGCGGAGCATTTTCTCATCTGTTTCTTGGCCACTTGTATTTCTTCTTTTGAGAAGTGTCTGTTCATGTTCTTTGCCTATTTTTATGGGGTTGTTTTTGCTTGTTGATTTAAGTTCCCTATAGATTCTGGATATTAGGCCTTTGTTGGATGTATAGTTTGCAAATATTCTCTCTCATTCTGTAGGTTGTCTGTCTGCTTCATTGATAGTTTCTTTTGCTGTACAGAAGTTCTTTAGTTAGGTCACATTTGTCTATTATTGTTTTTGTTGCAATTGTTTTTGGGGACTTTCTCATTTCTTAATGCATTTTGTTTATTCTTTTTAGATTGATTTTTCCACAGTGAAAAATGTGATTCCAGATAAATATATACTGTCTACTTTGCAAAGGTGGCGTTTAAATGTGCTGCGTTTGAATTTTCATGGTTGTCTTCTCCGACCCAAAACTTTCAGATCTGTCAGTAAGTATGTTCATTACAACTATTTGTCTTGCTTTCCTGTATCACAATTAAACAAATATACAGAAAAGCATAGATTAGAAAGGAAACTTCAGTGACAGTTTTAGGTCATAAGGATACCAATTATAACCATTTAAAAAGTGTATAATATAGTACAGCTTTTACTGTATTGTGTGCCCTGGGAGTTGGTTCTTTGTCTATTCTGTTTTTTTTTTTTTTTTTTTTTTTTTTTGAGACGGAGTTTATCTGTCTCCCAGGCTGGAGTGCAGTGGCACGATCTTGGATCACTGCAACCACCGGCTCCTGGGTTCAAATGATTCTCGTGCCTCAGCCTGCCGAGTAGCTGGGACTACAGGCATGCGCCACCACGCCCGGCTAATTTTTTTATTTTTAGTAGAGACGGAGTTTCACCATGTTGGCCAGTCTGGTCTCAAACTCCTGACCTCAAGTGATCCACCCGCCTCGGCCTCCAAAAGTGCTGGGATAACAGGGGTGAGCCACTGTGCCCGGCCGGTTCTTTGTCTATTCTTGACTACTCTTTTGGGGTCTAGTATTTGTATATCTATGGATCATCAATTTTTTCTACTAACAATTATAAAACATATTCTTATTTTAAAAAATCTAACAATAGACAGTAAAACCATCTTTTTTCACCTCCCTCAAACCTATTCACTTAGTCAAAGGCATCCAATGTTACTAGTTTTCTGTTTTTCTAAAATACATTTCTATATATGTGATTAAAAATACACAACTTTACAACATGAAAGGAGTGATATTGTTTTATATTTTCTTTTATGTCCTGAAAATCTCTCCATGTCAGTACATTTAGATTCACTACATTCTTTTTAAATACTGTAAAATTATTTTCTGTGTTGTAGATGTAGCATGCTTTATTTAACCTTCCTTTTGATGGACATTGAGATTATTTACAATTTTTTCCAAACTGACTGCTTTGTACTTCCATTGTACAAATAAAGATATTTGTCTTTAACCTATATATCCTTTAACCTATATATTCTTTGAGATGCATTTTCTATCTATCATATAAGTATTTCTGGAAATGAAAGAAACAGTATATTTCAAAAAAAAGTAGACATTCATATTGACTCCAGATTATCGGGAGAACCCGCTCCCAATGTTTAACAAGGGTTCTTTTTCTATTTCCTGTGTGTCTTGGCTGGGTTGAGAAATAAAGGGAAAGAGCACAAGAGAGAGAAATTTAAAGCTGGGTGTTCAGGGGAGACATCACATGTCGGCTGGATCCGTGATGTTCCCCGAACCGTAAAACGGACAAGTTTTTATTAGCGATTTTCAAAAGGGGAGGGAGTGCACGAATAGGGTGTGAGTCACAGAGATCACCATCACAAGGTAATAAAATATCACAAAGCAAATGGAGGCAGGGCGAGATCACAGGACCACCAGATGGGGTGAAATTAAAATTGCTAATGAAGTTTTGGGCACGCATTGTCATTGATAACATCTTATCAGGAAACAGGGTTTGAGAGCAGACAACCTGTCTGACCAGAATTTATTAGGTGGGAATTTTCCTCCTCCTAATAAGCCTGGGAGCGCTACAGGAGACCGGGGCTTATTTCATCCCTTGGGCTTCGACCATAAAAGACGGCACACTTCTAAAGGGGGCCGTTCATAGGCCTACCCTCTGGGCGCATTCTCTTTCTCAGGGATGTTCCTTGCTGAGAAAAAGAATTCAGCGATATTTCTCCTATTTGCTTATGAAAGAGGAGAAATATAGCTCTGTTCCATCCTGCTCACTGGCGGCCAGTTCAAAGTTACCTCTCTTGTTCCCTGAACATCGCTGTTACCCTGTTCTTTTTTAAAGATGCCCAGATTTCATATTGTTCAAACACACATGCTCTACAAACAATTTGTGCAGTTGACACAATCACAGGGTCCTGAGGTGACATTCATCCTCCTCACCTGACGAAGAAAATGATGGGATTAAGAGATTAAAGAAAGGCATAGGAAAACACAAGGGTATTGATTGGGGAAGTGATAAGTGTCCGTGAAATCTTCACAATTTATGTTCAGAGATTACAGTAAAGACAGTCGTAAGAAATTATAAAAGTATTAATTTGGGGAACTAATAAATGTCCATGAAATCTTCACAATTTATGTTCTTCTGCCTTGGCTTCAGCCAGTCCCTCCGTTCGGGGTCCTTGACTTCCTGCAACACCAGATAATGAGAAAGAATGTCAATATACACGTACAAATACCAGTTGAATAAGTCTAAAGATATTAAAGGGTAAAATGAAGTTGCATGAGAAAGCTATATATTGTATATGAAATCTAATACCATTTGTATATAACTTTTCAATTTGCAAAATTATGTATATTTTTACCTTTTATTTTGAAATAATTTCAAACAATATACATTACTATAGATTTTTAAGTACACACACATATGGTGACATATAAAAAGCATGCATGAGAAAGAAAAACTCCAAATGCAAGACAGTGATTGTAAAAGTGGACAGAGAGAGTTTAATGGAAAGGGGAAGAAGTGCACAAGGAGTTTCAACTGTGTCTGTACATTCTTAATTGAAAAAAGAAGTTATGCAAAATGGAATAGTTCTGGTTGCTTATTGCTGGTGCTACACAAAGCTGTAGTTTTTTGTATGATGTTATTGTATCTGACCATGTGTTAAGCTTTCTTCTTGGTTTTAATAGTTTGTCAATTGATTCTCTTGAATTTTCTAGGTAGACTGTCGTATCTGGGACAGTTTTATTTTCATTCATGCCTATTCTTATCTCTTTTCTCTTTTTCTCATTTTATTACATTGCTTAGGACCTTTTTTGCAATGTTGAAAAGTAGCAGGGATATGCAGGAGTCTTGTTCATGGTTCCTTTTTCATATTTTTCATGAAAATAATGTTAATACATCTTTTAATTTCTGGGATACATCCTATATGGGGATATAATGCCGTTTTCACCTTTATAGCAACTGTGTCCTGCATGTTCCTCATTCCGTCTGGTTACATCTGCCTTTGGATTTTTAGGAACTATTCGTTTCTGATCCACCAAGGCCATTCTTGCTTTGGCTTCCATGCATGTTATACATTTTTGAAAAAAAAATTCATTCTTGGATTTTGGGCAGGAGAGAGAAGCTGGATGTGTGCTTAGTCTGTCATTTTTAACCAATTTATTATGTTTGTAGTAATAAAAAGTTAATAAAATAATTATAAACCTTAAAGTGTTAGCCACCCAAACTTGCTCTCTCTGTCTCTGTTTTATTATTATTATTATACTTTAAGTTCTAGGGTACATGTACACAACATGCAGGTTTGATACATAGGTATACATGTGTCACGTTGGTTTGCTGCACCCATCAACTCGTCATTTACATTAGGTATTTCTCCTAATGCTATCTCTCCCCCAGCCCCCTATCCCCTGACAGGCCCTGGTGTGTGATGTTCCCCGCCCTGAGTCCAAGTGATCTCATTGTTCAGTTCCCACCTATGAGTGAGAACATGTGGTGTTTGGTTTTCTGTCCTTGTGATAGGCTGAGAATGATGGTTTCCAGCTTCATCCATGTCCCTGCAAAGCACATAAACTCATCCTTTTTATGGCTACATAGTATTCCATGGTGTTATGTGCCACATTTTCTTTATCCAGTCTATCATTGATGGGCATTTGGATTGGTTCCAAGTCTTTGCTATTGTGAATAGTGCCGCAGTAAACATAACGTGTGCATGTGTCTTTATAGTAGCATGATTTATAAACCCAGTAATGGGTTCAAATGGTAATTCTAGTTCTAGATCCTTGAGGAATCACCACACTGTCTTCCACAATGGTTGAACTAATTTACACTCCCACCAACAGTAAAAGCATTCCTATTTCTCCACATCCTCTCCAGCATCTGTTGTTTCCTGACTTTTTAATGATTGCCTTTCTAACTGGCATGAGATGGTATCTCATTGTCGTTTTGATTTGCATTTCTCTGATGACCAGTGATGATGAACTTTTTTTCATGTGTCTGTTGGCTGCATAGATGTCTTCTTTTGAGAAGTGTCTGGTGACTTCCCTGTTTTCCTCATTGAATACCCTTTATTTTTTTTCTCTTGCCTGATTGGCCCTGGCCAGAACTTCCAATACTTGTGAATAGGAGTGGTGAAGAGAGGGCATCCTTGCCCTGTGTTTTATGTGATGGATTATGTTTTATTGATTTTGCATATGTTTGAACTAGCCTTGCATTCCAGAATGAAGCCAACTTGATCATGGTGGGATAAGCGTTTTGATGTGCTGCTGGATTCGTATTGCCATTATTCTATTTGAGGATTTTTGCATCGATGTTCATCAGGGATATTGGTCTGAAAATTCTCTTTTTTTGTTTGTGTCTCTGCCAGGTTTGGTATCAGGAGAGATGTTGGCCTCATAAAATGAGTTGGGAGGATTCTCTCTTTTTCTGTTGATGGAATTAGTTCATCGGAGGAATGGTACCAGCTCCTGTTTGTACTTCTGGTAGAATTCAGCTGTGAATCTGCCTGGTCCTGGACTTTTTTTGTTATAGGCTATTCCATCTTATTGCCTCAATTTCAGATCCTGTTATTGGTCTATTCAGAGATTCAACTTTCTTCCTGGTTTAGTCTTGGAAGGGTGTATGTGTCCAGGAATGTTATTGATTTCTTCTAGATTTTCTAGTTATTTGCATAGAAGTGTTTATAGTATTCTCCGATGATAGTTTGTATTTCTGTGGGATCAGTGGGGATATCACCTTTATCATTTTTTATTGAGTATATTTGATTCTTCTCTCTTTTTTCTTCTTTATTAGTCTTGCTATTGGTCTATCAATTCTGTTGATCTTTTTAAAAAACAAAACTCCGGCTGGGCGTCGTGGGCTCATGCCTGTAATCCCAGCACTTTGGGAGGCCAAGGCGGTGGATCACAAGGTCAGGAGCATCAAGACCCCATTCTTGGCTAACAAGATGAAACCCCATTATTTTACTCGAAAATACAAAAAATTAGTGGGCCATCGGGGCGGGCGC